TTTCCAAATCAAAAATAACATCGTTGATTCTTTTCTTAGCAATAGCCAGGTGGCGACCAGAAAACTGTTGTGATGAAGACTCAAGCGATTTTACAAAGGTACTGATGGAATCGTTACGATTTTCCACATTTGGCTGACCAATTGCAAGTGGCAGAGGGGTCTGCAGGCACTTAATAGCTTCTTTGTAAAGATCCAGTTTTACCTTATACAATAATAATAACAGTGATTGACAATTACTTACGAAAGTGACGGTGAATAGTGAACATCACTCTGCCTCGACGCGTCACAAAAGTACAATAAATGAAACGCGTATAGCTACCTCTTCAATATCTTTCGCCTTCTCAGCTTTAATTTTCTTTGCCGGTCTCTCATTTTCCGTAGGATCAAGTGTTGAAATAGCAGGGTCGACGTCGTCACTCCCCTTGATAAACATCAAAGATTTCAAATATCTCCACTGCGATGTGTATACGCCGACCCTACCGGTTCCACTGACCTTGCTGTCTTCTTTTTTAACCTCTCGGCTAAAAAAGGTCTTGAGCACATTCCACCGACTTTTAATGTCATCGTGGCTTCTACCAGAGAGAAGGTCGGATAGCTTTGTGTAGCTTAGTTCCTTCAAGTCTCTGTCCCGGTAGGATGAGAGGCTGTGATTCCATAGGATGTCATTTTGTTGATAGTACTCTATCAACTGCTCTGTCTCGTTNGTGCTTGATGCCTGAAGTTCACTCAGAATTTCAGCTGCAAGTAGAATAAGTTTATTTAATGTAGAAAAAAAAAACAAATTTCTTGTTGATATAGTGTTCTTTTGGTAGATGGTGCAATATTAACGCCTTTCAGATTCAGGGTTGTATTTAAGAGGCAGGAGCCTGGGATTCCTCCAGGCTTCTACAGTATGAAGTTGGCCTCTGGCTACTTGTATAGGAAAAAAGAAAATTAATAGAACCAAAGGAAACCCCAAGCTGTTTGATTCTCCGCATAATTGTTGTATTTATCCTGCAACTTGAAATTTTAGTGACAGCCCCGTTGAATTACATACCAGAGCTTGCCAACTCTTACTTGGGCAAACATCCAGAAACAAAATATTGCGCATAGTTTGATGGGTAGGGCTTGAATGATACAATGTATGATTATGTACTCAATTTCACAAAATCTCACCTGAAGGGTAGAGAGCTGTTTCTGTCTGCTTTCTCTTGTTGTAATTCTCCATAGCCTCTGCTCTACATTGCCTGTCAGTAAACTTCGAGTTCAAAGGTGCAGGAATACCTGCCTTATACTTAGAAAGAATTGCATCCCTTTCCACAAGAGACGTGCAAAACACCAGTTCTCTAACCTCGTCCACATATTCTGGGAAAAACATGGGGAAAACAAAGGATTAAAATTCATGTTCATGACCTAAAAAGCATGAGACTCATAGTTTTGGCAGTGTGAGAAGTAGAAAATACTTGTGAAAGCTAGTGTATTCTTTGTATCAGTATCCTCTGGCATTAACTGCAAACTGTGGTTGCTGCATATTATTACACTTACTGTAAGTGGGAGATACTCTTATTTCTCGCACAACTTCTCCAAACTTTTACTTCGGGTACGTTACTAACAAGTACTCATTTCCATTATTTGTCCTTTGGGGGCTCCCTCAGCAAGTTCTCATTAAAATGTAGGTTAGCTAAGATGTACCTAGGACGTAAAACACACCAAGCTACATCATGGACTATAACAGAAATTTTAATGCAGGAGTAAATCAAAGTAGTCAGATTTAATTTTGGCTCTGAACACAAATTTTGAAAGAATTTGAAAGGAGGGTAAGGATTTCCATAAAGGAATGTTACCATAATTTAGGAGATGACATACATCTCCAGCTTTTGGTGATACAATTTTCTTTTCTGATAAAATATGATCCCACCTGCAGTATGAGCCAAGCCATGAGAAACATATCATCTCAGGATAAAACTGATTCAAGGTTGAATGGAACCCTTCTAGGGAGCTGGTTTTGTCCTCGCTGGACAACTTTTTTATGTCATTAAGTAGCCATTAAATCGCACGTAAACAAACTGAATATGAGCATCCAACACCGAAAACCCTTGTTGGTAACTTGGATTAAAATACGAAGTGAATCGTAATTATTATCTCCAGGATTTCTCGTTATCTCTCTTCTTAACTGGCAACGAGACTGTCGAAGACGACGTTAACTTATGAAAATTATTAGAAGAAAGCATGCATTCCACACTTACCGCTTGCGATCTTCTCCTGTCACGAGCGCTTTGTTCGATCACTGGTGCTTGGATAGCGCATTGGATAGTTGGAACTGATCCCGTTTTTAAAACTCGTTTTTCTTTGGGCTTCGTGCTTAAACTTTCTTCAGAGCTCATACTGTTTTCATCGCTAGTTTTTGGCTGGCAACAATCTGCTTAATTTTAGCCTTGTAAAACAGCTCTCGTGAAAGTGCAAGGAGCACAATGTGCTGTGCGATGAAGGTTTCCAATCTGGCCTATGAACATTCACAAACTTTACCCATTGATCCCTTACTTTCTCATTTTTAGGGAATAAATGCATGGAAACATTTGGAGTATAAGAATTGTTCGTACAATTGATGCCTCCGGGAGCACCGGCCGCATAAGTCTTTCCACCATGCTTCGCCATTGTGAAATGTATGAGCTGCACTTTCTCCCACGCTCGATGTGTCAACCGTGTGACGTCACATGCATAACTAATTAGGAAATCGCCCAGACGCACTTTTTTCAGCAACCTGTCTGTGTTCGCGCTCCAAAAATACAATGAAGAAAATGTTTTCATGGCTTAAAAACTTTTTTATCTGATTAAATAGGAACCTAAGTAATAATTAACCGTTTTTTACAGTGGATTGATTTTTGCTTCAGTAGCACTTTAAGAAAACAAGAATTGCGTTCAAAATTCCACCGAGGTCTTTGAGATGCGAATATTAAACTTGATAATTTTTTTTTCTGGTTAACATACTGTAAGATTCCAGCCTGAAACTGTGATAATTTTGCCCTATGAATTGAAAATTACGGTAGGTGCAACTTGATCAAGAAGTTGGCTAAAATTGAGCGGCGCCTCTACGTCTCAGTCTTTGCTTTTATTCATCGCTAAGTGTTCCTCAGTTTTCGTTAAAGAATATAATTGTTTCTTATAATTCCGGCGTTTCAGATTTTGAGCGACTTTGGCTTTGCGCGATATTTTTGTGTCGTGGAGAGCAAAAATGTGCAAATTAGCCCAGTAAATGTAGGTCACGGTGATCCCTAGTTAGAGAAAAACTTGTCATCACAGCCTTAGTCATTGGTATGAGAATTGTTGAAGAACAAAATTTAAATATGGTTGCCAGCAGGTGACTACCTTTTTCTTCTGTAAATTTTCTTCATAAGTGCTGTAAATTGGTGCTCAGGAAACAAAATGCTCAGGCCATTTTGGCAATCTTCTCCAGGGCTCGAAATTGCGCCTGTATTGGGCGCATCTGCGAATGAAGATTATGCTTTTGCGACTAAAATTTCTCCATTGGTAACGATTTTGCGACCGTTTTACAGCCTAGCTTATAAATAAATTATATTTAACAGCCTTGTGTCTTACTTGCTACTGGTTGCTTTAGTTTTATCCGAAAAATCCTGCGAAATTTAAGTTAAATGTTGCGTGACTTCTGTCGTTGATTTCTTGCTGAGAAACGTATCGTGGAAGCACTTTTTTCAGAAACTATGACGTGCAACCCATATGAAATTTCTTCTGCGACTAAAATTTTCGCACTTGAGACTAAATTTTGGGAATTACTTGCAAACTGCCACCGAGAATTTTTTTTAATTTCGAGCCCTGTTCTCTTATATACCTACATGTACTTTTAAATCGTTTTTCGTTTTTACCTCAGTGATTGAACATTTATCTCGCTTTTTATCCAGTAAGGCTTCAAAAAGTATGGTGTAAGACTCTAAGTGTATCTGCTGCAGGCCTATGTCTCCTTTGGTTTACTTCTACCTTTACATCTCCAGAAGTCCTAACCAGGATAATGATACATGTGCATATGGCGAATTATAATGTCACTGAACATGTGCTATCTCTTTGTTCCATTATTAGAACAAACCCAGCTGATTGGTTACAGTGGTGACCAGCACATTAATGAGAACTCCAATCTTACATTGTTCTGTAACACAACTGGTAAACCAACTGCCAATGTTACTTGGACAAGAGTGTTGGATGATGGGAGTAATGGCGATGAAATGTTTGTTGGAAACCCTTGGTTTATAAGAAACATCAAAAGGACCATGAATGGAACATATCGTTGTACAGCTTACAATGGATTTGGAAATACAGTGACCCATTCAGTGCATGTCAACGTAATTTGTAAGTAGGCGAATATTTTTGAAGAAGATTCTGGGTTTAGTCAAAATAGGATGTGACATCTTTTCTTTTTTTTCTTTAACTTTTTTTTTTGTCATCTTAATTGGAATCTTTTACCCGCCCATAAATAGAATTCTAGTTTAATTTTGCGTATGTGTAGGCACACTATTAACCACAAAGGTAAATAATAAGAGCTAATAGGTACACGTGTAACTGGTTGAGGTATGTTTGAATATAAAGTCTCAAAGAAGGGTTAAAGAGGTATGCTGCGGGATTAATAATGCAAGGGAAGGACAGGTGCAATATGTTTATTAAAGCAGAATTTCAAAATGAAGCTAATTTTTTACTCCAAGAAACTTTTGGTGTAAAAATCTATATATATGTATGAAGTTAACAATCTCCAAACTTACAGAACATTGGCTGCTCCTCCCCTTGAAAGTGTTA